GGAAACAATGGGCGGCCTTTCTCTGAGCTCTCTACCCAGATACCACGGGATTCCAGAGCGGTACAGATGGGTTTCTCCCAGCAGGGGGCCCGAGGCCGTCGGCTGCAGCAGCCAACGATCCGGTCACCAGGGAAGCCCTTCGATGGAAGACAGAGGGACCGGCAGTGACGAGATGTAGACTCCTGAACCACATGACAAAACAGGTCTGTAAATGCGCGACTGCCCATAGAAGCAATAGATCCCTCTTTCCACAGACTTTGTGTTGAATGAAGTAATGCTGACTTATATATAGGACACCAGCCAGGTCCTGGGTTACGCCGCTCCCATACCCCCACCCATCTCTGTCATACACGACCCAGACAGCCCACAGTCCCCCTGCACCCACTAACCTCCCCCCCCCCCCCCGAGAATTCCTTGGTCAAGCTGCCTTTTTCTCTGCAGCAGGTTTGGAGACGTTTGGCTGAGACGTTTTGGCCTTTCTCTGAAGGCCAAGAACCCTAGCAACATTTTGCCAGAAACTAAGTATGAACATAAACTGAACAGCATCCTCTTCCTTAGAAACTGCCCATCTTCTTTACATGAACTCCGAAGGTTTAATTTGAAAACCTTGTAATTTAAGGGGGAGGCTGCTGAGAAATATAGTCGTCACAGTTTCCCTCCTGTTTTCCACAACATCATGGTGTTCTAAGCGGGTGGATTTGTCTGCATCAGAATTTAACACACGAGGAAAAAATGATCAGGTGTGTCCTTGCAGAAGTACCCACAGACTAAGAAGAAGAGTGAGATTTTCTCCGTTTCCAAAAGAGAAAGCTCAAAATACCCAGAGAGCTACTCAGCCTTTTAGAGAGATAATTGTCAGGTGCGTTCGGATCGTACCTCCTCTCTCGTGGTTACACAGTCTTTGAAAAATCATCCCAAACCCCTTTGATTTATGGTTTCTATGCACCCCAAGGAATAACGGCAAGGTGACTCAGCAGCTGTAGTTTGGGGGAATATCAGCCCTTTCACTGAGTTCCCAAAGATGAAGTTCAACCCATGTTTCTCCACCATAAATATTCTTTGTTCATCCCAGCTCCGCAGTGTTTGAAGAGGTAGATTCGGGTAGACTGACTCCGTAGAGAGCCGTGGCGCCCTCTGTGACAGCTTGAAGCCATCCCCGGGTGAGCAGCATGAAAAATGAGAGCTATGCAGTGAAAAATGTAGGAGCTCTGAATGCGGTGGTGAGGTCAGCCCGCAGACGCCAACCGGTGTCTGGCACGGCTCTCCTCCTGCACCCCAGTTGCTGATAAGAGGGAGCCAGATGCCCTTATCTGCCCAGGCCGGGGAGGACCGAAACACGCCGTGGCAGCCTGGCCAGGACTGCCCCTTCGCAGAGACCTCCTTAAAGGCAGGATGAACAGAGACCTGAGAAATCACATCTGGGCTGCTCTCTGCTCCCTGACCCCTCCCTGTCACCAGGGCCCCTCTTTGGAGATGGTTCCCTCCATCCCAGCCCTTCCTGACCCGCTCCTGGGTAGCTTCTCCTCCAGCTCTTTCTAGGGGGGCCCTCGATCCCTGTCCGCTGTTAAACACCCCTAAGTTCTGGTGCCTTTCCTCCAGAGAGTTCCTCTCACTTCGTGGTTGCACCATATTTAATATGATTCTTTCCTGGACCCCTGCCTCCCCCTGGACACTCTGGGCTGCTGCCTGGTCTGGCTCTGCTCACCACTGCATCCCTGGTGGCCGGTGTAGCCAGCACAACAAACACCTGCCCTAGGAAGGGCAGGGAGGGGGAGGGAGGAGAAAGGATGAAAAAGGGGCAGGGGACAGGAGGGTCACCCAGATTCTCACAGGGAGGGTCTGGGCTGACAACCCCGCAGAGCTCCGAATGAAAGCCGAGCACATATTTGTTTTGCTGGCACTTTTATTATGTCCAAAATGCAAACAGCCAGCCATTGCCAGTCCTGAAGCGAGAATTTCCTCCCTGCTGCTCATTTATCGTTCTTAATGTCACTCTTCAGCAGCGTCTTCCATGGCGCTTAGAGGCGCTTAAAGGAACAAAACTGCCATCATATTTTACAAACCATTTCACACCCTGAGAGCTGAGAGCTGGATATATGGAAGGTTTCTGAAAACTGCCTGCAGGCGTCGGGTTCTAATATCATTACCTGTGGCTTTATAGCTCAGCTTTGTCAAAGGAGGGCTGCCACGGGCCCCCGGGAGCTCGTGGGAGCGCCTCTGGTCTTCTGGGCAAATGTAGGGCCTTGAACTGCACTGCCTGCCTCTGGCTCTGCCACAAATGCTTTCTGCTGCTGCCTTTTCCCTCTGAGTTACGCACTCAGATCTGGCGTTCAGTGAAGAAGGAGCAACATAAGGTCTAACCTCTGAGGAGTCGGCCTGAACCTCACATAAAGGGAAATAGTGGCGTTTTAGAGTGGCAAGTGGGAGTCCCGGGGGAGGCTGCTCAGACGCCAGGATGCAGCCGCGTCCCTGAATGAGCGTGGCCGCAGCCGGCCCGCTCCCTGCCTGCCTGCATCCCAGGACACCCCCTTCCACCCTGCAAGGTCCGATGTGATCTCAGCCGTGCTCACCACGCCCCCAGCACATAGGGGAGCAGCACCCGAGAGCCAGAGGGGGTGGGGGGGGGGAGAGAGAGAGAGAGAGAGAGAGAGAGAGAGAGAGAGAGAATAGGGTGGGCAGTTCCTGAAGAGCAGAGGCGTGGGTTTCACTGCCCTTCTCTCCAAACCTGTTCACTGCTCTTGAATAGTCCCCTTAGTTTTGAGTTCACACTCTCAGTGAAAGTGCTCTTATACCAACACCAGCCACTCAAGGGCTGTGACTGGAAGCTCCGAGCCCTCTGTGCGTGTTTATCGTGTGCTGCGCCTCGATGCTGCGCTGTGCGGGGAGCAGACAGGTCCTCTGGACTCACTGGTGGTTGGGGGCTGGGGACGTCTGTTTTCTTACCAGTTGGCTCTTTCGTTCTTCATTTGAAGGATTAAACTTCCTTTCAAAGTCTTTCGCGCCTATAGGGACTAGTTCCCTCTGCTACTCTGGTTTACTGTTGTTTTGTTTTTCTATTTTTTTCCAACCTTTTCTTCCTGCAAAGACAACACACGAAGAAATAATATAAGGAGTCACTGTCCCGGCTTCCTTAGGTGTCCCTCATACTCACCATAAAACGCTGATCCTATGTGTGTGCAAACTTCACCTTCATTCATTTAGTGAAAGAAACTGCCTTCATTCATTTAGTGAAAGAAGTTTCTAAACTGGGTAAATGATTTTTTTTTTTTTTTAATAAATGGGAAAGTTGGACTCTTGCTTCTAGCCATGAGGTGTAGCCAGTACTGAACTTGCCCATCTACCATGAACAACTAGAAAACTGGACAAAGTACAGGAAACAAATGTTTTTAGACATCGGACCAAGGTCATTGCCGGATTCTGAGAGAAGGAAAGCAAATCAGGTGAACTCCTCTGATGTCACCACATGCCCCGATTCTGGACCACAGCAAAGGGAGAGCAATTCCCAGCATTCCTCCTTGAGCCGAGGTCTCCTCGAGCTGAGGAGCTGAGATCGGGGGTCAGGGAGGCCAAGGAGAGTTGAGAGCTGAATATATGGAAGGTGGAATGAGCCACACAGAAGAACTGCCCTTTGAAAGCTTCCCCTCCCGTCTTGAGTCTTTGGCTGAAAACTGCACTGTGCATGCATAGGATCAACTCTCCAAGGTCAAGGAAAGAACCACTATTGGAATTTGTAAGTTTCACAATTTCCAGAGCTCACACAGTTCCCATCAGTCAAGTGGAGAGACCTTGTTGCATAAACAGAGCACGCAGAAAAGAACTCAGAAAGGTCAGGCTTTAGTCTTATACAAAACTAGCTCAACAATAAAAGCTAGCCTAAACCCGTCATTACAAAAAAACGTTAAAAACAAGACTCAAAAAGATCAATCTGATTAAAAATTAATTTAACCGCCTGCCAAAAAAAAAAAAAAAAAAAGAAAGAAAGCCCACAAAAACCCGCAATAGTATTAAAGGAAGACAACAAAATCTGGACACTCAAGAATGTAATATTCACAATGTCTAATATGCCATCAAAATTTACTAGACAGGTGAAGATGTGAAAGATGCAACATGAAGCTGGGGCCAAAACCAGTCATAGAGGCAGACCCAGGAAAGATACAGATGACAGAGAGATAATGGACTTAGCCAAGAAAGACTTTGTTTTCTAAAACGGTCTCCTACCCTCAAGAGTTTTAAGGATAACAAGAACCTAATGAGGAGAGAAATTGAAGGTAGAACCAAAGGAAACTGCTAAACTGGATAATATAATATCTGAAATAATAAAAATTCTTCATATCTTTGCCAATCCATGGGAACTGCCATGGCTTTTTAAAAAATATTTTAATATGAAAATAATTCAAACATACACAAAAATATAGAGAAGAGGATAATGAACTCCCAATATCCAGTCCCCGTTTCAATATTCCCCCTGTGTTCTTTGAGTTTCATCTGTCCTTCCAAAACTCTTTTTGTTTTTTCTGGGGCAATTAAAACAAATTTCAGATATCATATCATTTCACTCCCCAATACTCTAGTGTTCATCTCTAACAAATACGTGGCCAAAGCTTCAACGCATACACACAATGCCATCATCACACCCCAAAGATTAGCAATAATTTATTCCTACTGCCTGTTAACCAGTCCCTCCTCCGTTTTTCCTGATTGTCTCGGGAAGTTGGGATTGGCCATTTTGGTACAGTTGCTCCTCTCATCGCTTTTAGCTGATATGTCTCTTAATTCTCTTGCCTTCTCCTCTGGTTTCTCCAGGGCAGGTATTTGTTGGAAACAATCCAGTGATTTCCCAGGTCATTTGTCCGAGAGAATGTCTCACTTCATTGAGGAGTTCTTTATTTTTTATTTTATTTAAAAATAAAAATATATTTATATGTATATTTTATTGATTTCAGAGAGGAAGGGAAAGGTAGAGAGATAGAAACATAAATAATGAGAGAGAATCATTGATTGTCTGTCTCCTGCACACGCCCCACTGGGGATCAAGCCCGCAACCCGTGCATGTGCTCTAACAGGGAATCAAACCGTCACCTCCTGTTTCATAGGCCGATGCTCAACCACTGGGCCACTGAGAAGTTCTCTACATTTGTTCTAAGCCTCCTATTTCCTGTGGGTCCGTAGTTAGATCTAGAGCAAGCATTGCAAACTCGTGGCCGGTGGGCCGCATGCCTCGTTTATTTAAACTTGCGGCATGCCGGCTGCGAGTTTGGCATGCTTGATAGAGGCTCAATTAGGTTCAGGGTGGAGGTACAGTAATACTGCACAGGCAGTGCTGCGGCTTCCTGTTGTGGAGCTTCGACAGGCCCATGTCTGGGTGCCCCATCTTCGGTGACATTAAGATGATAGGGATCAGCTGTTGCCAGCCTGATCCACTCATTGTAATGTTCCCCACCAACAACCACCTAATGGCGTTAGCTCTCCCTTGGAGTTGTAATTTTAAAATGTCTTTGCCAACTCCATAGCTGATAAATTGGACCTATCTATTCTAGTTGGTCAGTGTTAACTTGTTACTTATTTCTCAAGTCACAGGATTCCTCTCCGATTCATCTGCCCACCTCCTTCCTTTCCAGGCCTCCTCACAGGGTCTCAGTCATCTCTGGTGCACTCCTAGTCGTGCCGGTCTCATCCAGCTCTGTGGATGGCTTGATGCAGAAACTACTGCATGCACAGCCCAGGAATTGTCTCCGCATTCCAGGCCACAGTCGGTACCAGGCCCGGGCCCTGACTCCAGCTCCCCACTGGAATGACTGCTTTGCATGGCAAGGTCAGCGATGTTTCTGAAGCCGCCGGCCCTACAAGAAAGTGGCCAGGGTCACCGTGAAAACTCCATGGACAGGCTGCACAGCCCCCAATGGCACACCCTTTCTCTACCGTGGCCGGGGCTGCAGAATGGGAGAAGGTTAGGGCAGCAGTAAGTCCGCTCAATCCTAGTCACTTTTCAATGTCCGGGTCCTCTTCCTAAGACACCCGAGTCCGTGTGGGCTAAGCCACGCGCAGTTTGTGGCACAGACACTGCTCTCCCTGCCACGTGGGGTCATTGGCTTTGGGCCACTCTGTGCTTGTCCACTCTCCCTCCCCTCAGACTGAGTTATTTCCCAGGAAGAGCCAAAGGCTGGAAACAAATCCTCCTCAGTGGGGTCAGCCCAGAGGCCACAGAGACACGCCCAGGTCTGCCTGAATCTCAGGATGAGCACAGGTCAGCCTGGCCCGCGGGAACCTGCCCCGCCTGCCCAGTAACAGAAAGCAATGAGTCGTACCCTCGGAGAGGGGCAGGGTGCCCCCAAAGAATGTTTTTCCAAAAGATGCTTTTTTGAAGGCAAACAATGTAAGGACTGTTTTCATAATCCAGGTATCTCTGTGAAAATGTTGAAAATCTCCCTAGGAATTCCTCAGGCAAGGCCGACCTGAGAAACGCCGTGGACAGCTGCCCAGCCAGCCCTCCGGGACCACGCAGGACACCCACAGGCACACCTTTCCGTCCCCGCCCCCCATGAGAGACTCCCTGGAGCCACAGGCACTGATCAAGGACATGCTTTGGAGTTCGGTGTATTTTTTTTTTTAATAGTTTATTGATTTTAGAGAGAAAGGAAGGCGGGGGGGCGGGGGGAGGTTGGTGGAAGTGGGGGGTGGCGATTCAGGAATGATGTCCTTCAGGAGGGAGAAGGAATGTGACCCAGGATCAGACGAGTTTCCCTGTTTGGAGCAAACAAGTTCTTCCCCTCCCAGGGCCCCTGCCCAGGAGCTGAGCCGCCTGACCAGCATTGTCTTCAGCAAGAGGCACGCCGGTGCCAGGAGTTACCACGTCAGCACTGCACACACGCAGCCCAGCTTACCAGCCACCCACTCCACCCAGGAGGCAGCTTCCCACCCGGAGGGGTTTGAAAAGCCACAGACCCACCTGTCCCCTCCACCTGCCCCAGACTCCCCAGCATCCTGCCTGTGTCCCATTCTCCTGGGAGAGGAAGGCGCCCTCTTTTCCAAACGGGCTCAGGTGGCATGAGTTAAGCCACTGCCCGTTTGAGGGCGGTGCCCCCTGTCTGCCAAGGGCCCCGAGGCTCCCTGGGCCTGCTCAGATGCACCTGCCTCTTCCCCTTCACGGACCGAGCTCAGACAGCTGGGCACACATGCTGCACCGGGAGCTTCCTTCCTGGCCAACTGTGGAAACCACAGGTAGGATTTCCAGCTCAGCTCCAATGCTGCCTCCCCTGCCGCCCCTCCCACCTCTCCCCTGCTGCCCGTGTCTCCCGAGGACTCAGTCACATCCAGTCACTTCTGTGCCCAAAGCAGCCAGGCTCCCAAAGGCCTCTACCGCCCTCCCAGGCCACAGGGCCCTGACACTCCGGAACAGTGGTTCTCAACCTCCTGGCCCTTTAAATACAGTTCCTCATGTTGTGACCCAACCATAAAATTATTTTCGTTGCAACTTCATAACTGTAATGTTGCTACTGTTATGAATGGTAATGTAAATAGTTGATATGCAGGATGGTCTTAGGCGACCCCTGTGAAAGGGTCATTCGACCGCCAGAGGGGTCGCGACCCACAGGTTGAGAACAGCTGCTCCGAAGGGTGAGGGCCAGGAATCGCTCCCAACCCCAGTCAAACCCATGCCTCCAAGTTGAGCCCGAGGGACACACTGTTTCACTTTCCTGGAAAACTCCGTGGTTTCTCCAAAAAGTGGACTTCCCCATTGTGGGGAGGCTCTTCACCCTGTGGCTGGACACTGATTCCTCCAACAACTTCTGGAACATTCCTGGGAACGCCCTCCTCAACACCTCCTTCCTCCCTCCTCCATGGAGCCTCCACAGTGGGGACTGACCCCTCTCCCTCAGGTCTCACCAGCCATGCCAGTCAGTCCTGATGCTGGGGCCAGGTAGGCCTCCATCCATTCCCTCTGCTTGCCCCCTCGTCCCAGGCCCAGGCCCCATTCCCATCCCACCCCTCTGGTGCACTTGCCTCACCCCAGCCCCCTGCAGCCTCGCTGCACCATCTCACAAACGGGAGGAGAGGACACCTCAGGGCTCCCTGGGGAGCTGGGGCAGGAGAGGGAGGGGCTGGTTGAGGTCACTTCCTCCCGGTGGCATTGCCCACTCTCTGCCTCCCACCCTAGAGCCTTTCCCACGGCCAGGGAGGCAGGAAGACGGGGTGGGACCTGGTGTGCTTGGTGTCTATTCATCATCTGGATAGCAGCAAGAACAAGGGGTGAGGGCCACACGACCACACACTGCATTTCCCAGCGTTCACCAGCTGTGCCGGAGGGGGCTGAGGAATGAGGGCCGGTCTTGGGAGCCGAGATCTCTCCCTGCCCTATCCTGGGGCAGGAGGGCCTCCAACAGGAGGGCGGTGGACAGAGGGTGGAGGGATGGAAACATCTGTGGACCCTCAGACTCAGGGCCGATCCTCCCTTCAAGAATGTTCAGATACCGAGCTGCTCTTGGCATAGGCATACCTCTGCTTTCGTGGCCGCGTCAAAATAAAAGATGGGTTTCCTCGGCAACCAAGGAAACAACTCGAGAGAACAGTTATATTGTTTTGAAATGTTTTGAAACCTTATCAATGGTTTCCAGGGAAACCCAGGCTTTCCTAGGTAACTCTAAGAAGAGGCACAGGGGAGCAGGTCTGAACTCACAGTATGCAAGCACGCAGCCATTTGTGAAGGCAGAGTATCGAGTTCACTCACATCTGACATTTAACGTTCGGGCCTGTTCAGTCTGACATCCAGTGACTCCTTGGGGAGGTCAGCATTACCTGGTTCACAATTTCAGACATCACACAACGTTTTAAAAATTATGGCACTTGTGAATCCCATGAGAATTGAAAGTTTAATTGATATTATGAAATACACTTTGGGGAAAGCCAGATTTAAAGGACCAACTCAGCGGCCAAATTTCAGTCAGAGCAGCTTGTCAGTCAAACGGCAGCTGTGTCCGCAGAAGCAGCGATGGGACCGCCAATGAATCCGGGAAAGGTGGCCCAAGCCCTCCCCGTGTCCCACCAGGCCGTCCTCACCGTGGCTCCGTCTCACCATCACTGCTCCCCACTTACACTCAGAAAAGCGTCCGGCAAGCCTGCCTTCCCAGTGGGTGCTGACTTTTCATTCTCTCTGGCATCCGCTGAGGTCGCCAAGTGCCTCTGCCTCCCTTCAGCAGCGAGTTCCTTTCCTTCCTCAGCTGGTTCGTGATCGCCTCTCAGGACCCGCTTCCGCCTCTGAAAGTCACCTTCGCCCTTGCCTGCTGTGGCTGCACAGGAAGTCCTGGCTCTGAATACTGCTCCAAAGAGCAGCAAGGGAACAGCCGACGGCCACCATCCTCTACGTCCAGTCAGCCCTACATCACCACATCGCTTAGGAACATCTTGTTTAATTAAAACGTGCATTTTAATTTCCTGAGTGATATTTTTCACTGTCTCCGTGCTGTGCACATGCTTTATATGGCATCAAACACAACGGACCGCAGGCAGGAACAGATGGGTCTCACTCTGTGTCAAACTGATATCACAGCACACAGAAAAATAACAGCTAATTTGAGCTTGAAAAGGTTACTCAGACCATACTGCCTCCAGTGGGATATATTTTTAAAGACAAAGAAATGTTGAAATGTACATAATAGGTTTGTTTTCAGTAGTGATATGGGTGCAGTGATAATAAGACTGTTTCATGCGTATTCTCTTGCACATGAGTCACTATACAAATGTCGGAAGCCCAGATTCTTGCTGTGGGAGGAGGTAGTCCCACAGGAGGCATGGGGCTGTGAGGACAAGCTCCCTGATGTTGGCTTGGAGGTGAAGGCATCGTCAGTATGAACTCATGATGTTTTGAAAAACATATTTAAATCTCTGTCCATTGAGGAGTTGAAGGAACAATGACATCGACTGTCATGAGCACACAGAGCACCCAGACCTTGGTTTCTAAATACCTTTCGCCACCAGAGGGAAAGGTGGCTGACCCAGGCCTGGAGCGGGGAGGGTCCAAGGCCAGCCTGGGACACCCAACAGTGCCAGGAAGAAGGATGTGCCCAGAGACTAATGGGGGCATTCAAGTAGCTGCTACTCACAAGTGACGAAAGCCGAGTCAGGTTGGCATTCGGCTCCCAGGACTGCCGTGACCGATGGCCACAAACCACCCGGCTGAAATAGCAGCCGTTTCTTCCTTCATGCTCCGAAGGGCAAATCTAAATTCCAGCTGTCAATAGGGCCAGGCTCCCCCTGAAAGCTCTAGGGGAGGGTCCTTCCTGCCTCTTCCTGCCTCGGTGGCTCCAGCCTTCCTTGGCTGGTGGCCGCCTCACTCCAGTCTCCCCTGTGTCTGCCCATGGCCATCTTCTCTGTCTCTGTAGGTCTCTGTGCCATTTTCCTGGCTGTGATTTTGAACTATAATTATGCATGATGCTACCTTTGGGGAAATTGTGTGAAAGGTTTATGAGATCTTTCCATTTATTTTCTTTACAACTGCATATGAATATATAACGATCTCAAATGTTTGTTAAACAAAAAATGTTGTCCGAGGGAGAGACTGAGGGAGGAGGAATCCACCGGTCCTGGCATCTGACTGGCTTCAAGACACAGAGAGACACTGAAGGAGGCTTGGAAGTTCCAAGCCCAGGAGACGGGGGAGGGGAAACCAGGACAGAACAGCAGGGGCAGGAAGAGAGGCGCTAACCCCAGGGCCAGACCTGGGGACTCTGGTCAGCATGAAGGCCTGAGGGACTGGAAGTGTGCTTTTCTTTGGGATGCAAGGAACATCAGGCAGCTGGAGCTGGCCTACGGGAAACGGGCACTTTCCTAGGAGGCTTCCAGGGAGACCTTGAGGCTCAGGGCAGACATGCAGTTGGGCCTCCAGAAGAGTTAGAGCTGGGACCAGGGAGAGCACACTCCACCTTTCCCCTTTATTTTCCCATAACATACTGGCTTTCGTTCTCAGTCCAGGGCTGCCCCCAGCGCCCGAGCCCCTGGGAGCCACTGACCCCAAACTCCCAGGGAAAAGTTTCCTAGGCCGGTGCCCTCCCCTCGGGGCCAACAGGGCAGGGCCATTTTACACAAGTGGCCAGAGCCCACCAGAGTGTGACAGTTTTGGGGGTCATCTTGAGCTGAGCAGGCACCCCCAAATGTATCCATCACAAAAGTCCTTAGAGCGCCATCTATTCAGTCCAATACACTTACTGGGCCATTAAAATGAACCCCTTTTCCTCTTTCAAGAGTGGATTCTCATGTTCTCCGACGATCACATGTTAGAAAGATTTTCGACAAGAGCTGAAACTAGCGTTTAGCCTGGCTTTTAGGAAACCAGAAGATTAAATTAACCGGAACATCAAATCCCCAATCTGAGAGTCAGAGTTTTATTTTATTATAAATCCAAATGTATGCAAGTAAAGATCATTCTCGTATGGATATGCAGTAGCTGCTTCCCCCACAACCCCTTAAACTTTCTAAAACCATTCCTAATGATTCGGATGATTTATCTGGAGATAGTTCCTGGTACGATGACCTTTTAGCACATGGCCGTTTTTCTTTAATGGAGAAGCACTGTTTCTTCACACAGTGAGCACTGTGGCCTGAGCTGCTCTCTGGGAGGTGTGCTGTTGCAAATCTCGTCATCAGCGGAAGGTCAGGCGCCAGCGCCCTGCGGGACAGAGAGAACTGCGGGCCCTGGAGCCACGGGGCGGGCACCAGGGCAACACCATGAAGGCCCGCACACAGACACTTCTTCCCTTCTCTTGTAGGAAAACCTCTCCGAGGAGGATTTCCCCTCTTGCAGGGCGTTTGTGGGACCGAGTCACAAACAAGCCCCACGTGCCGAGTAAATCAATAAATAGGCGGCCCAGGCACCTGCTTCTGAGAGGGGGATTTGTTGCCTTAATCCGGCCGTTGGCCTCCTGGAGAGTCTTCATTAATTAAGGCTCTGGAAACAAAAGAACTTTGTCTTCTTTAATCATGGAATTTCCAGGACATCAAAGTGGACAAAGAAGTTTTCAGAAGCTCTTTGATTCTAAGCATCTTCCTCCTGCTCAGGGCAGCCGCCAGGGAGGTGGGTGGAGGTCACCTGGGAGGAGGAGCCCCCATAAATGGGAAGGGTGGGGGCTCAGGCCAAGGTGGGAGGGGTTGGTTGGAAATAGGAGCTTTGGGCAGCCTGGGGCGATATCCCTGCCGGGCTGGCAGTGGGATGTAGATGATATAAAGCAAAAATCACATTCCAAACATACCATTCCCAGCAGAGAGTAAATAGACTCAGCAAAGCCAGGTTCAAAGTGGGCTCTGCAGAATATCTGCATGAAATGCTGTTGAAGAGAGGGGAAACCCAAGGGCTGAGTTGGTGGTCTTCGCAAATGTGGGCGTGCCCGTTTCTCTCGGAAGTCATGGAAGAATCCAAATGAAAGAATCCCAGAGAAATGCCATGGGAATGAGATGTGTACAAGGCGGTGTGGGAGCAGAGCCCTGAGGGGCCCCAAGGTTCCAGCCGCCGGTGCAGACCCCGTGTGCCATCCCCTCCTGGTGAATGTGCCTGGACTGGGGAGGGAGGGATGTTGCTCTTATGATGGGGCTACACGGTGTGACAAGGTACGGGGACAACACTCCTGTGATTATCTGACCTCACCTGTGCAGCCGGCTGGCCTTGCAGAAGCACAGCTGCGAGGTGAGCGGCCACATCTTGCCACATCACTAGGTCCCGAGGGAGGGAGGCCTCTAGGGCTGACAGTGACCCTGATTGACAGCCGGCAGGATGAACGCAGGGCCTCGGGGCTGCCTCCACCTGGTGCTGGGTTCTGCCAACACGGCGGGGAAGGTGGAACTGCGCCTTGAACAAGAACCACGGCCCTGTGGCCACACCCTGAGTGCAGCCCGGTGCCACCTGAGCGGAAAGCCAGCTGAGCCATCGCTCACAAAAACGACAAGAGAATAAATGTGCTGTTTTAAGCCGCTGTGTGTCAGATCTGTTACACAACAAGGGAAAACGAATACAGACCTTATCAGAAAAGTCAGCATAATTTATCTTAGCAAGAGTTTTAAAAAGAACTCATGCATCTGTGAGAACAGAGGGTTGGGTTAGCAACTTGAGAAACCTCCGTGCACCCCTTAGAATGCAGAGCACTGGGTCAGAGTCAGGCGATTTGATTCTGGCACCTCTTCCCTGGCAGGCTAGCCTGGACCAGTAACCTCATCACCACGGAGGCCAGTTCTAGACCCTGCGAAGTGAGGACGCGCAGCCACGCGGCTCCCTGCGTTTCCTTCTAGTTCAAAACACTAGCTGCTGGAGGGGAGCCACGTGAAAGCACGGGAAGGACGCGGGCAGCCTCCAGGGCAGTGACGGCGAACCTTTTGAGCTCGGCGTGTCAGCATTTTGAAAAACCCTAACTTAACTCTGGTGCCGTGTCACATATAGAAATTTTTTGATATTTGCAACCACAGTAAAACAAAGATTTATATTTTTGATATTTATTTTATATATTTAATGCCATGTAACAAAGAAAATCAACCAAAAAAATGAGTTCGTGTGTCACCTCTGACACGCGTGTCATAGGTTCGCCATCACTGCTCTAGGGGCACGGACTGGCCCAGGCTGGCAGCCAGCAGGGAAATGGGGATCTCAGTCCCCTAAGAAACAGGATTGGTCCAAAACCAGAGTGGGCGTGGGGCTCATTGATCCCGAGCCTCCAGAAAGGCTCGCAGCCCTCCCCACAGCCTGCTTCCGGCCTGGGGACACTCTCGCCTCCTACAGCTGGACTCAGACTCTGACCCACAGAACTGGGAGACAATTAATGGGCTTGTTTCCCGCCTCTGGGTTTGTGCAGGTGCGTTGTTGGTGTCCCTGGAAATTTGCTGTGAGGATGTACGCATGAGCATCGTGTGCACGGAGGTTTATACTCATACCTGCCCTGCGTGCTCGTGGGGTCCACTTTGTCTGTGAATCATGGGCCAGCTGCCACTCCAGCGGCGGGTCCAGCCACCTGCTCCCAGGGGTGGCTGCCGAGGTTGGGGACTGGGCATGGGTTGGAAGGGTTTGGTAGGTGACTGGCCTGACGCTGGATTTGCAGCCCGCACCTCGTTTCTAGCTGTTCTAGTGCAGACCGGAGTGTCTCTGGGGAAGCTGGTGGGGACTGGGTGGGGTGAGCTCCCATCAGCCAGCCTTCCACCGCCCAGGCTGAGGTCTCTGTGGCTTGTTCTCATGGGTTCGCTGCTGTTGTTGGCGTTGCCTGGTCGTGGTTCCCTCCCCTGTGTTCAGAAGAATGTTCGTCGTTGTCAAGAGGACGGGCTTGGATTCACCTGGGCCACTGAACCCAGTCCTTATGCTTCTGGAAGCGTGGTGAGCTCACCGGTACAGAGGGGTGGTGATAACAGTGCGCTTACAGGGCTGAGGGAGGCTCAGAGGAGACCTGTTCTGGGCCCACGT